TTTTCACTGGAAAATAAACAGTGGAATTCTTACCCATGGGAAATTTTTCCAGTGAAATCGAGAATTGCGGCAAAGGAAGAAACAAGACCTTTATTGAAACTTGGGTAAAGAATGTAATAAGGCAAATGGTACATTCTTTTCTCTCTCGAAATGAAATTCTTACACTTAAAAAATTAAACTCAGAAATAGAAAACAGCCCCACTCTTCCTAAGATATATTTTCATCTGCAAAAAATATTACATGAATTAAATTTTGGTTACAAAAAACGTTACAGAAACAGCATTTTAACAGAGAAAAACGAAATCATTGCGTGAAGACATGATTATTTAAGGATCATAATATTCGCAAAGAATCAGCATAAATAGGTACCTATTTTATTTAGATGAAACATGGGTTAATACTGGACATACAGTAACAAAAATTTGGCAAGATACCTTCATCAAAACTAAAAACAAGCCTTTTATGAAAGGGATCTCTAGGGGATTAAAAAATCCAACAAAGAAATCATTTAATAATAACCCACATTGGAAGCACCGATGAATTTGTGCCAGATGGTTTATTAATGTTCAAGTCAAAGAAAACAAAAGACTACCATGAAGAAATTGATTGCCCTATGTTTGAAAATTGGTTTCAGAACATTAAAAAAAAATCCAGCCAACTCCGTTATTGTTTGGGATAATGCATCCTAGCACAGACAATTAAACCCAGACAGCACACCAAATCCTTTGGATATCATCTACTGAACATCCCAATATCCACTGAATGTCCAGTCCATGGTAGATATCTGTTTTATATTCATGAAATGTAATTTAGACATGCAAATGTCCATAAATAATAGTAATTATACAGGGTGTTAAAAAAAAGTGTCACAAAATAAAACGGGGGGTAGTATGGGCCAAAATATGCAGAAAAGTCTTAATAAATATATGTCCGCAAATGAATGGTTTCAGAGATACGGAGTGTTTTGTGTTTTGTATCATTTTTTGATTATCTTTTTTCATTCTCAAAAACTTGCTTTTCTTATCGGAGTCTACCGATGTTTTTTCATAGATACTATTTGCAGTTATAATTTTGTTGTGGGTGAATAATTTTATAAATTTTCGTTATGCCTGTTTACACTAATATATTGAATTAGCTGACATGCATTTTATGTACGGTCGTGCAAATGGCAATGCGAGGGAAGCGCTACGTCAGTATTTGAACATCTCATTTAACTCTATGTTGTTATTGATTGTTTATAAATATCATTGTTTTTTTAAAATAATAAAAAATTGTTATAAACACAAAATGGTCCGTATCTCCGAAACCGTTAATTTGCGGTCATATATTTATTAAGACTTTTCTGCTTATTTTGGGTCATACTATTCACCATTTCATTTTGTGACACTTTTTTTTAACACCCTGTATAGCAAATTATTAAAAAATTACGCCATTGTGCTCGCCATTGTGGCTAATAGTACCGTTCAGATATTTAAAATTAATTTTTTTTAAGGTGTATTTAATATCCCATGAACATCCACTAAATATATCAAAGTCTAGGCGCGAACGCAAACCATCGTGGATATCCACTAGATGTTATTTGATTCTGCTTACTAAGTACAGATGGCGATACCACTATCGCATCTACTCATGCTCGACCCGCCGTAATTGAGTTCGATCAAAATTTGTGTACTAATCACTCCATTAGGGACTGGAATCGAGAATTTTCATTTATTGCTGAAGAGTCCTGATAAGGATTACTTTCTCCTTAGTGAGCAAAATGAAAGGCAGAATGTTGAAAATATTTTTTATCTCTGCTATTTTCTTTCGACGTTATTCAATAATTATTGGTTACTTATGAACCTCTACTAAAGATACCCATAAAATATTTTGCTGAATATCCGAATATCTTCTATATCCTGGGATATAGACGGACATTTGGTTGGATATCCATATTGGATATATTGAATATCCACAAAATATATTCTGTGGATATCTCTGGGATTTCTTGTATTTTCTGGAAGATACCTATTAGATATTTTGCTGAATATCCATTAGGACATCTTCTATATTCTGGATATAGACGGACATTTGGATATCCATATTAGATCCACAGAATATTTCTGATATCCTGTGGATATATTGTATATCCACAAAAGATATTCTGTGGATATCTCTGGGATTTGGTGTGTTGTCTGGGAAGGAGTTATTACCTAAAACAAGATGGAAAAAATAAGATATTTCCAAATGGCTTCATTCCTAAAATATTATCAGTCCTTCTAATGCCTTGAAGGCACAATTACTCGTAATAGCAAGGCAACATAAAAACAAATTAAAATATTATATGGCCCGAGAAAAAGGAATTGAAATTCTCAGATTGCCTCCTTACCACGCAGAGTTAAATTCCATTTAACTGATCTGATCACAATTAAAAAGTTATGTTTCTCGAAACAATACAACATTTAAATTAATTAAAGGCAGTTTCAGATGTAAATGGAAAACATCAAAGAAAATGCATTATGTTAAAAAGGTGGAAAATTCATTTTGAAACGTAGATATAGCAATGGAAATCTTAATGGACCCTATAATAATAAACCTCAGACAAGACAATGTTAATGATACCAGTAGTTTTAGTGAAGGCAGTGACTTTTAAAGATAGTTCTTGAACTTTTTTTTTGATCTTTGATTTTAGGTTCTGAAGTGTAACTTTTAATGCTAAGAGATTATAAAAAGTTTAATGTCATTAAACACATAATCCTCCTTGTTAATTATTAGATTAATTTGTTTAATGTTAAAATGCAACAATTTTGTCAGAAGCATAAGGTTTATTATTTTTTTTTTTTTTGTAAATAATATAACTTTCTCCATTTAGGCTACGTATATACTAGGGTGTATCATTTTTAAGCAACTTTTTTTTTTCAACTAAAAAACAGGCTTAAAACTTTCAGGAATGTGAAAAAAGAAGCCTCTAAAAATTTGAGCTCTTAATATTATCATTTAGTGGTGCTTGTTCTAAAGGAATTTTTTTTTTCTTTTTTCTTATTTTTGTAGCTTGATATTTGAGCATTGTAAAAATAAAGTGAAACATTATTAATAAAGTGAAACATTATTTTGGTAGGAAATTGAACGCTCTACAAAAAGTTCTAATATATTTTTTTCATAGAGTGAGCCGTTCTGAAGATATTCAAACTTAAAGTTGCAAATGTATGAAATTAGGACTTTTATTTTATTAAACTGATGACTTTTTTATGTCTTAAAAATTATTTTCAAGAAAACATCATTATTTTCATATAGAAAGAAAATAACGACGCACAGAAGACAAAAATTCACCAGAAATATTTTTAAACAAAAATATGAGTGACTTTGTTTCAAAACAATCATTAAAACTTTTTGACAAGTTTGATTTGCCCTACGACTTTCTGGATGCAGATGTCCTAATTTGGCCAGATAATGAAAGTTATCAAGAGAATTTGGAGTTTTTTGAAAAATTGAAAGTTGTCAATGACGTTGCAGGACGTGGCGTCGCATTAGTAGAAGAATATAATAGATGCCTAACTAAAGATGAGGAACAATTTTAATATTTATTGCAAGTGGTAAAGGAGCACCGACGAAAATATCCAAATTGTAATAAAAAAACTTCAACAAATATAGTTACATCATCCAATTCTGATAAGACATTAAAATATCTATCAGTTTCAAAATTTTAGTATGCTAATTGTTAAAAAGTTTTTTTTAATCTATAAAATAATAATTTTACTGAACCTAATTCATAATTACTTTTGTTTAACAGTTAATCAAATAATATCTAAGATGTATTTTTTTTTTATTTTAGCTTTCTAAAAAGATTAGCGCACAAAAACCAGTTTTCTGATTAAAAATAATTTTTAAGACATAAAAAAGTCATCAGTTTAATATAATAAAAGTCCTAATTTCATACATTTGCAACTTTAAGTTTGAATATCTTCAGAACGACTCACTCCATGAAAAAAATATATTAAAACTTTTTGTAGAGCGTTCAATTTCCTACCAAAATAATGTTTCACTTTATTTTTACAATGCGCAAACGTCAAGCTACAAAAATAAGAAAAAAGAAAAAAATTTTTCCCATGTTATTTAGATGGAAAATGGAAAGTTACGAACAGGCACCACTAAATGATAATATTAAGAGCTCAAATTTTTAGAGGCTTCTTTTTTCACCTTCCTGAAAGTTTTAAGCCTGTTGCTTAATTAAAAAAAAAGTTGCTCAAAAATGAAACACCCTAGTATATACCTTATTTATATTATAGAAACTTATTTTGCAAAGTACGCCTATGGAATGTGACGTTATATCCCCACTTTTACTGCACTCCTCTTTTATTCAGACTATAGACACATACCACTAAGGTCGACCTTAGCGCCTTGCCTTAACAAATTAAATAGTCTTGACACTCTTTTCTTAGGCAACCCATTTGCGATATTTTTATAAACATATTTTATTTATGTAAAAAAAAAACTTTCATCCAGTAAGCAGATGGGCGAAGGTCGACCTTATTTCGTATCAAATGTTAAATTAAGGCAACATATTTTTGGGCTATAGTGCTCGACAAAAGAAGAAAACGTAAAGTTTAATTACATAGTTTTATTTTTTATTCAACGTTTATTACTTACTAGCTTTAATATTAACTGGTTATATTATCAGATCACATAGGTTTCTTTAAAAAATCTACATATAGTAACTATTGAGGAAGATAAGCGAAGAAAAATTCCGATTGATCTTCCTTAAAAAAAAAATAGATTTTCAGGTTTTTAACAACAGGTAAGTCAATCTTTTAATTATTAAAAATAAAAATGGATTTCTTCAGGTTCTCAACAACATATCTTTATAAAGATATAGAAGTTCGTGTTTATTCAAATTTTACCAGTATGATTTTGGGGCATATAAAATAATATGTCTAAATAAAATTAGGAAACGGACTTAATTTGTCTAAAAGTAAGTACTAGTCTAATCAATTTCATTATAAAAATACGTTTAAATTACTTACATTTACTGGTGGAGAATCTACAGGAATATCTAAAAAGAATGGAAGTAGTTCCATTACGTCACATCTTTGCATAGTTGGACAAAAATCTTCCATATTGAAAATTAAATTAATAAGTATAATATATAATTATATATATTAGATCAAAAATATGTTGACTTTTAATATAATTATTTTATTTTTTAATTAAAATGTCAATTTCTTATTCTTAGCATCATCAAGTAGCTTTAGCAACATGACACAGAATATTAAGGTGGATCCAAGCAGTTGCTTTTAGTGTCGACGTGGAAGTAGAGTACGATTCAACTTAAGACACACATCATACCTGACAAAGGCCGCAATAATTTGCCTCTCTCTCAGATCCATCCCATTTAAGCTTCAGTGGCGTTTTGGCGATTTTTTTAGTTTTTCTTATATAGAGATACAATTGCTTAATAATTTGGCAACGCTGTACGACTGCCGCATGGTCCAGAACCGAGAATAACGATCAAGGTCCAGAATATAATTCGAACAGAAGCTATCGCGTAAATATGGATCCCTTATTATTGTGAGCCAAACTTCGGCGTTGCCAAGCTTTCACTTGACTCAATAATTTGCATTTTACTTAAATACGAATAAATAGTAAATAAGTATCAATTAAAATATGTAAAACTTATTTAGAAATAAATACAACAGTATGTTATGTGCTTTATTTAGCTATAAACAAGTTTATTTTTATTATTTTGACAAAATTATGTATAACTCCCATAAGAAGCCATGTATTTTGAACCACGGCATAAGAAACAATCGGCAGGCTAACTTGTCTTGGCGGCAACGCTACGCGCACACCGCCATTTTGGGGTCCAACCTCTCAATCAAGTCAGTGCCGTCACTGTCGTCGTTTATATCGACAAAAACCACATACTTTGATTACTGTACGAGGCAAGAGAGAGGTCCGACACGCCCAACATAGGTCGCGGCCATTTTGAACCCTGTGACACAGTTTACAGCTAAAGAATCAGATCGCTCACTCTGCGTCGGCACTTTGGATTTCAATTTTCAGTTAATACACTGTGCAACTCGGATAATACAATATATGACAACCGCCTATAATAAAACAGCAGTCTTCTGCGTATCCTGAATTTGTATCCTTGGAGTGGATGTTATTTTGGAACTTTCAACTGGTCCGAGTGAGCTAACTGATTCTTTAGCAATAAACTGTGACTTCAAAAATAATATTCACTGACACTGACAGCAGCAAGCAAAATATCAGGTGCGTTTTAATCATCCGCTTCTGCTTCCGGAATTGTCGGTTTAATCGTTTTAACCTGTCAGATTAAAACAAGAAAACCGACAATTCCGAAGCAGAAGCGGATGATTAAAACGCACCTATTAAAAATATTGCGCCAAGATGTAGGCAACACGTAATAAGGGTTCAAAATGGCTGAGTTTTCTATCTCCTTCTAAAGGGCACTCAGAAAGCAATGACATATATAGATTAATAGACTGCTCATCCATATATAAACAAGACGACGAAAAGCGGGTCATATTGCTTGGCTTGCCGAGTGCTCACCAGGCAGAATCGGTCTGGCCCAAATGAGTTTAAAACTCATATTTCATCAAAGTAGGAATTGAATTAAAAAAAAATTATCTGTATGTTTATTTCAAGACAGGAGCTTGCGTTAGATATTTTAAAAAAGGATTTTGAGTCATAACGTCTAGTTTCCCAATTTTCACAACATTTTAAGAGATCTAACCAATTTTGAAGATAGATATAAACAATTTTACAGTAATGTGTATATAACTAACTTTAGACCACGACCACTGTATAGTGGCACTATTCGGACACTTGATTATTCTTTTAAAATTTATTTCGCATTATAAAAGCAGATATTATGCAAAAATTGAATGAACTTTTTAAAGATTTTACAAAAAGTTAGTAGCTTTTTCACATTCTAAAGTTTGTTCCCTTTAGACAATTAAGGATTATTTTGGCGGTGAATGTGAATGATTTGATAAATAATAATAAGATTCCACCAGTGGAAATCTGATCAACATCATAGTAAAATGAACTATGTACAAAGTGCAATCTTAGTTGACGTCAAGATCCGATTAGCATCGGTAAGGGAGAAAGAAAGATTCTGACTTACAATCACAAAAAGAACGTACAACTAAGCTTAGTCGATGTAAGTTAGCTCAGATTAGTGGTAAAAAGAAAGCGACTATTAATAAAAAGAAAAGTAATCCAGCTAAAACACGAATTATGGCTATTGTCTTAAATAATGATACGTTGCCAGTACTAGTAGAATGTTAAGTGTTGAGTTATCTTCTTCAGGCAATGGATGTACGTATGCATAATTTAAAATGTTTGGTTAATTATTATTATGTTTAATGTGTTTTTGCAGTTAATGAACATATATCTACTACTGAAGCAGATAATGAAGATTTGTGTGCTGCTGAAGAGCTTTGCTTAATTTACAAAACTTCGTTTAAAAGCAGAAAATTGGGATCGATTGTTCAACACAAGTGAAGAGTGGTGATTTAGTTGATCCGTTTTCAAACAGAATTGTCAGTGCTAAAGAACTATCTACTTTAATAGGATTGCAATCCTTCCAGTTATTAGCCACCATTGTGGAATTCGTTGTTTCTAAAGAATAGGAAAAAGGAGATCAGTTATGTCTGTAAAGGATCAACTTATATTTACTTTTATGAAGTTGAAAACTGATGTGCAAGATATAATGTCTTATCCATTTTATTTGGAGTGAATGAAACTTTTTATCATTAAATTTTTAACATTTTTTAATAAAACTGGTAGAAGTTCTTAGTATGGTATAATTCGGCCTTCAAAACAAGAAATATTAAATAATGTGCATCTATGTAAGTAAGAGTACTACTTGATTGTACCGAAATCCCAATACAGCAAGCCAAATGTCTTTGTTGTAGGCTAAAAAATTACTCTGACTACAAAAAGAGGCATACTATTAAAATATTGACTGGAGCGTCACCTACTAGTCTCATTACTTACAAAAGTGAAGCATATGGTGGTAGAACTTCAGAAATAGACATTTTTTAACAAAGTTCAATACTTGAAGTGTGTGAATCATTTCTCGATAAGTAGTAAAATGTTTAACAAAGGTTTTCTTATTGGAAACATAACAGAAGCTGAAGGTATACAAATTATACAGCCTCCTTTCCTCAATAAAAAAATCAGTTCAGCCATCAAGAGGCTTTCCTTAATGCCAAAATTGCCAGAGCTAGAATTCACATAGAAAGAACCTATCAAAGAATAAAAGTGTTTGTCTCTCTGTATTGGTACTTATGTCCGTTTTTCTTCTATTTATATTGTTTTTATTATACGATACTTCTCTGTATCTAACTAAATTTTAAAATGTATTTGTAAAGCCCAGATAGCTCTAACTCGGGCCTTTGAATATAATAATATTTATGTAATTGTATTTACAATAAATACTTTATTATTAATATTATTATTATAATTAATTATAATTCATAAAATTATTATAAACGTATTTACCTTGTACCTACTTGTATTGATACTTGCGTGAAAAATGAAATGTTACTTTTTATATTTCTGTAGCTGGTCTTACAACCCTTTATAGAGCAATTCACCATTTAAATTTAAAAACAAAACAAGTTTTCATACTCAAATAATTAAAAAATTTAAAACAGAACATAAGTATAATTAAAACTAAATAAAATAAACAACTCAACAAAATGTCCGACTGAGTAATGACAATGAGAACAAAATCTCAACTAGACTAAACTTTCTTTAAAACCGGTCCTGTAAAAGTTTTGTTTACCAGTGAGCACTCAAAATTGAGACAAAACACAAACATTGCATGCACTAGACAAAGAGAAAACATCTCCCAGTTCGACCCGCTTTTCATCGTTTTATTTACGTATGGATAAGCAGTCTATTTAAACTATATATGTCATTGTCAGAAAGCTGCGCAGTGCGACCATTCTCCGTATAGTAAAAGAAAATAGAAAATCAAAGTATGTGACAAAAACAAACAAGTTGCAGCAGCTCGAAATCAGTAGCGTGTGTCTTAAATTTATTTTGTTTGTGATGTGTGTATTATGTAGTTATTGTTATTTTTTTAGAATTATAGATATTTTTTGACACTTTTTATATAGTAGTTGTTTTCCAGTGTTAATTTGTTAACTTTTAAGTGTTTTACTATGTCTGGGCAAAGTTGTGCAGCAATAAACTATATGAATAAACTGTATTAAAAGATTTTTTCGGTTTCCTAAAGATCCTATTAGGTAGGTATGTATGGTATACTTTAAAAAAAATCCTAGGTTATGGGTCAGTTTGTCAGTTATAAACCTATTAGTAAGATGTAGGTAGGTGCCTAGTTAACGTCACGTAAAGTTTAGCGTCAATTTATATTTACTTATGTAGATATATTATTAAGATTTAAAGTAAAATGTTATATTTTAAACATCTCCCGTATGGAGTTGACAAAATGGAAAATCTTTATTTTTATTTTAAGGAAAAAGTCATTATAAAAAAATTCTGTTTGACGAAAAAATAGGTTTATTATATTAATATGTTAGGTCAGGTGTACACGGTCTTTCTTAATAAATGAAGAAAATTAAAATTGACAAAAGAAAAAATCTATATTACCTATTGATTTTACGAAGAAAAGTCACAGTTTTCCTGTCGGTTTTCCTTCATAACTTTAAAAGGAAACTTTTTCTTGTCATTTTTTTCAACAAGCAGATTTTTTTGTAAGGAATGACTTTTTTTTTCTGAAAAAAATTAATATTAATCGTAATTGTGTTATTCCCAAATATTGAAATGCTTAACAAAAATTTAATTGTGATATTCATTTTGATAATAATTATTCTAGATATGCGAATAACAAAGCTTTATAATCTTGATAAATCTAAAGTATTTTCATTACAAAAAGCAAGAAAATCTTAATTAGCCATTAAAGAATTTATAAGTAGTAAATTAAAAATTAGTAATGAGTCACATACAATCAAAATCATGTGTCTTAAGCAGTGCTATTAAAAATGTAAAATTCTTATATTTTGTCGAAGTAAATTCAAAAGCCCGCTAATCTTCAAACTAAAATAGCATTACATCTTTCTATATTACCGACTGAGTATTAATTGCACAAAACTATTCCATATGTCGCTGAAGGTAAACATGCTGCCAAATTTCTGTGAGGAATCTGCAACTCTTAATTATCCTTCCTCCATGATGG